ACAACAACCAACTACAAGGCAAGACAACCTGCCTCAGCCCCACCAGCAAAACAACCGACTACATATACACCAACCAACTACCACCAGCAATGACCCTGTAAGCCATTTTGCTTCATCACTTTCGTGGACTGCAATGTCCCTTGCCAAACATTCTGAGATGCTTCTATATTGACCTCAGAATGGACGAAGATGTCAGAGCTGGGCGATGAGGGCTTCTTCACAATAAAGACTGGTTCGAATGGCATTGTGGCTTGGAGCGGGCAGGACTCGATTTGGAAGATCAGATTTTGGCGGTCACTGTACCTCTTGTTGGAAGATCAGATTTTGGCGGTCAATTTGGAGGCTTCCTTCGTGGTCGTGGAGATGATGCGACCGTCGGGTTCCTTCCAGGTGGCCTTGCGCCGGGAGCCATCAGTTTGGGTGGCCTTGCGCCGGGAGCTCTTGCTCCGGGAAGCCCTTGGACGTTCAATTTAGGGATTTGGGCAGAATTGTCGTGAAAAAGGGAAGAAGCGTGAAGTTAAATGGGTTAATGTCGTGCCCAGGTTGTCAATTTAACGGGTGTTTTTGCCATGTAAGAAACCGTGAGCCACGTGTACATTTCCCTCAATTTGAAGAGATAGAAGTCTACTGAGTGATGGATGGTTAATTATTAGGAAAGATGAATGACCATTCGGTAACGCGTTAAAGTTAAGTGAGTAAGTGGTAACCAATTTAAAGTTCAGTGATTGTTCATTAAATTAACTCGTTGTCCAACTATTTGCAGTCGTTTACTATCGTAGTCGTGTTGCGTGACATATATGTGACGGTTAATTATTTGATGTCACGTAGGGCAATTCCGAAAATGGACGACTGCAAATAACATTATTCAATTAAAAACCGTGGCCAATTCCTAAAATCCGTGTTGAACCAGCACTCTTCTACCATTGGACCATTCCAGATCTGAATATTGAGGACTGCATGCAAAAATAGTCATGATCCATAGATTTGGGATATGCAATTCCGAAAGTCGTCCTCTTGCTTACTTATTCAATGCATATTTTAAATTTTTGGCACAATACTTAGCCTCTGTTTGATGTCCTTTATTTTTTGGCATTTTAAAGAGTTTAAAAAATTGTCAACAGTGTTATATTAATAAAAAATTATCTATCACTTGACATACAACAACTTTTGGTTCAAGATTAAGATCCATTGGAAATTGGTTTTTCATTTATGCCCTCAGTTATGGTGTAGCAAATTACAACATTAAGCTTGTAAGATGTGGTTAATTGTACAAATACATTTGATGGTAGATTGAGAAAAAAACATATTACCTTAAAGTACAACTTACAAGTGATAAGCAAGGGTGGACGCAGACCATAAAAGTTAGAGAGGCACAATCGAACTTGCAAAGAAGTTGGGAGAAATATTACAATCGAAAATTTACATCCAAAAAAATCATACCCCATGTAATTTTACAACCGAAAATTTACATGGGATATGACTTTTTCGGATGTAAAATTTCGAAAAATTTTGATGTCGGATTCCATATAAATTCCCTAATAAAATGATGAAAATTATATTGAGAAATTTTTATCGCAAAAATAATAATAAATGTTAATGAAATAATTGAATTTTTTAAAAAAATATGAGTTAGACATCTTTTTTTAAGACTCGCGTTTAATGTATTTTTAACTATTTTCGATATCTGTTTGGACTATTCGATATGCCCATAATGTAGTTCTCGAAATAAGTTTTGAGATAACATAAGCAATTCGTAAATTGGCGTACAATTGTCGGAGAATTCTTAAAATTAGCATGTTATCGAAATTCAAATTTATTGTAATTTTGCCCCTGTTTTGGTGGCGATTAAAATTAAATTTTTAGTAAATTTTGATAAAAACCAAATAGTTATGGATTTCATGAAATATGTTATTATAATTAATTGTTAACTTTGATTTAGATTAAGATTTAGATTTCAATCGATACCAAACACGATTTTATTAAAAAAAAAATTCTCAAAAGTTGGGTGGGTCACTTGCCCCCCCGCCCCCAACCCCCTAGATCCGCCCATGGTGATAAGAAACATCGTTTTCCATCTGAAATCGTGGGTGTCAAATCGATGCTTAATAGTAAATGAGAAGATATCAACATATATTTTATAGCTTGACATATTAGGTGATATCTTTTCATTTATTGAGAAAAAAATGAGGTGGTAAAGTGTGAAAAATGTAATGAAGAACAATTAGTTGAAAATAGCAGATTTGAACTTACATTAGTAAGATTGATTAGTCTAGAATAAAAACAACTCATGTGAATTTAGCATGGGCAAGGTTACCCCATATATATCTGCACATGCACTAGTTAGTTAGTTGTGGCAAATTGCACATCTACCCCCGTGTTTATTAAAATGCATGCTATAATGTAACTTCTTATTATGAAATGTATATCTTTAGCCCCCGTTTGGCCCCCATTATTCCAAATTAAAATGAGAAGAATAATAATTTGTTGAAGAATGTGTGGAAAAAAAAAAGAAATATTTTTAGATTTATGTGTAATATTATTTTATTGAAAAATGTATGATTGATAAAAAAAGAGAGAAAAATGAATTATAATTTAATGAAAAATAATTGAGGCCAAACGGGGGCTCGTTGAGAGAATGATAACGGGAGGCATGACGTTCAGTGGGGCATGGACAGAAATTAAAATATTTCTATTTATTGTCCTTTACTTTTTGCATATTTGAAATACAATTCACAGTTAAAAAACATTAATATTAAATAAAAACTAATAAAGTGCAGCAATGGTCCGAGTTACACCACAAAAACTAAACAGAACACACAGGTAAAAAAAAGAAATTAATTGCAATTATGCTAACTAAAATCGAAAAGAACCTAAAATTACTTAAAAAGAATCAAGAAAAATAAATAAAATTCAGAAAATGTGAGAATTGGGAAGGATAACAATCTTCCCCTATCTCCCATCATTTATACCCACCCAATCAATGTACAACCACACAAGTACTCAATAGGGCGAAACATTGATTGTAGGGTTCTTAATCCATGGGATCACAGTAATACTATGGGCCATAGGATCACAGTAATATTATGGGCCTGCACCACACAATAAAATATCTGGCAAACTGCCGGTGCTATAATCACATGGTGCAAGGTGCACGTAGAATATGACATAAAGTCAATGATGATAAACGCCAAATCTTTGTCCTGCCAAATCACATCTTACTTGAGCAACACCCATCCTTGACTTCTCGAGATCAAATTCCATCCACACGTTTTGTTGATGATGATGGCCTATAATGTACGACTCGATTGCTAGGAGATCAGAGTTCCCAAATGTGAAGCAATGTACAGAATCATTTCCTCTAACTTCACCCGAAACTCGATAGAGCAATCGATTATCTGATACCTTAATTTCGGCACCACGAAACATTAAACTAACTGAGGGCAATGTGGGTAGACTAGTTTGATTAACTGGGATAAGAAAACACAAATCAAATGCTCCTTGGAACACGAAATTCGGATCATCCAATACCCGTAAAATTGTTCTAGTTTGGTCCATAAACTCGTTCTTCAAAGCTGTGTAAGCCGGCCCTAGTAGAAAAGTAAACTGGGTACCTGAATCAACCATGGTTTGACCCGCCCCGGTGTGATCAGGTTCGAATATGGACTTGGGTAATTGCAGCAATTTTTCTTCGACTCTAATACCCTCGAGTTGGACAGTGTAAGCCACCCTATCAAAATAAGGTAATGGGGTAGAGATTTGGATCAAGGGAGTGTAATTCAAGGGCAAAAACCAAGTATAATTGGAATCACCCAATAATAGAACGCCGGACAAATCCGAACCCGAAATGCAATAAGAGAATTTCTTGAAGCCCATTTGGGAAACAAAAGAGAGGGATCCACGGTTCATACCCATTAACCCGGTGGTCTTGGAATCCTCATCTGTGTTGCTACTAAAACCCGAATCCATGCACCCGAATATGGTATCCGAAAATATCGACCCGCCAATATTAAACGTATCCAAAGCAAGATTTCCTTCCGACGATGAAGCGTCAGCATATGAGAGTATAGCATGGCAGAGGTTCTTGGAATCACAGGAAGCGGGTATGGAGAAGTCTTGGGTCCGGGTCGTGCAAGTGGGTGAAGAACAAGTTACAGGTGAGTAAGACGATGACCGGGTCGGGTCAAATACGGGTCTGTTTACTCGAGTCGTGTTGCAGAGTAGCCATGATAGTTCACTCCCTGTGTCGAGGACCATGGTAACATTTTGTGGAGGCGAGCCCACTGCTAACGACACTGTAAGAGTTACATTGTGAGTGAAGGAAAGCTTATCGGGACTTCTTGGGAGAGAACCGGATGGAATTTCTTGAGTTTTCAGTGGCAAAACAAGCATTTTTGCAGTAGCATTTGATTTCTTGATGACCATTGGATCTGCTAAGCAAAAGGAGAGGTGCATTTGGATTGAGAAGATAAGAAAGTGTAAAAATTTCATGGTTTTGTGTGTTCACTAAATGAAACAGTTATGTGAAGTTGAGGAGAAGTAAACCGCAGAAGATCTGAGAAATGGAGGTGGGAGTGTCAGAAAAGTAGTTGAAACTCTTTATAATAAACAAAATAGATCTATTTTGTAAGTTCGATATCACACAACAATTCTTTCGAAGGGTCGAACTAATGACGTATATAATACTCGAATTTTTGGACGATGAGAAATGAGAAGTATTGTTTGTAATTGAGGGAACAAAGGGGTGTGAGGAATCTTGAACTTTTGTGAACCGAATTACAAACTGGTGGGATTTTGCAAAAATCTGGTAGTAGCAAGGGACCATAGAAGGTAGAGCGGGGACAGGAACGACGACGTTTAATTGTTTATGAGGCTATGACATTGACTCACCAACTAAAGAGTCCAAGATCCATGTTTGGTCGGTTGATTATGGATCTGGTGAATAAATAACCGGAGTTCCTCTTTTTTTTAAAAAAATGTAATTCATATAAGTAATTCATTTATTGTACATTCTTCGGATACTCATCTTGAATTGTGTTTTACCATACTAATTTATTAATGGGATAAAGGCGCGAACCTTCCTACAACCTAAATGCCCATTTATTAAGGTTTGGCTATTCACAAGAAGTGCCACTGAGACCGAAATTTAGTATCAAGGGCAAAATAATATTATTCATTTTTATATTATATTCAAATTTATTAGCTTTTCGTGTAATAACACGTGCCAATTGTTAAAAAAAAAAAGTGACTTGCTTAATATGAGACCAACACCTATGTATTGATTTTGAAGTGACAGAAATACAATAAAATGTGAGTCGTGAAATTGTGACATGAATGTAGTATGTGAAATTCATACATAGTATGACATGACATGACATGACAATATGGTAAACAATGAAAGAGTGCAGAATTTATAGTGTTGTTTCAATCCAATCATACGTCACATTCAACTTTCTTAACTTGTCATCACGTCACGTGAAACTATAAGAAAATGAATTTCAATGACCCACTTAAAAATGAGGGGACAAATTCGTTCACCTTCAATTGTTTTTTTTATTTTTCTTTAAATCTCAATAAAATAATTGTAATGAAAATTTGTGTTTGGCAATCTCTTTTTATATCCAAAACAATTCAAGAATGGATGTCAATTCAATTCCTCTATTTTTATTTTGTTTTGATTAGAAGAAGATTATAGGGACATGAAATGCACTTAATTTTTTTTTTTGAATAAAATACTATTTATCCCTGCTCAAGATCAATGGTCTTCAAAATTAAAATAAAATATCTGTCATGCATCACTATGTCCAGACTAAATGGGAAAGGTTGACATTCATGGCAGGATTTATTAGCTTTAAGGAATATTAGGTGTTGAGGAAATAAATATGTGGAAGATATCTAGCCCGAGTTTAGCTTTCATTAAATTTTACTTTATTTTCCTCTCTTCTTTTATCAATCACATATTCTATAATAAAATAATTGTTGTCCTTTCGAGGGTCTTGTCCGCACGTCGTAAAGGGAGGTCCATAGGGAGGAGAACAGCTTCCTGAATGTCCGGCCCAAGTGTGTATACGCAGTGATCGCATCCAGATTTACCTGGGTGGAAAACCAGGAGTGAAGGCTTCCACTCCTCAGGACTAGTCGGACGAAACTCGGACACCCGAGTCATAAAAAAAAAATGATAAGGAAAACTTTAAAAACACACCCTATATACATTGTATAATTACACTTTACATGCCATGATTGAGGTAATTAATTAGAATTTGTGTATTTTTACTTTTTAAGCTTTAAACAAACCATTAAGTCTTCTGTGGAAACGAAAGAAAAAAAACGAGTAAGTACCTCTAAGTATGGATACCAAAAACTTAATTTTTGATCTATTTCATGTGAATCTCATTTACAAGTTATTATTTTTTTTTTTTTCATTTTAACATGCTCAACCAAAAAATTTATACCTAGTTAATTATTTCAACTGCTTGCTGATGAAACCGTGATTATTTGATTATATGTGATTACATATATTCTTTTGAATTCATTTTGCCAAAATGGTAGATTGTATATTTTAATCCTAATATTCCATGTTTCTTGTGAAACAAAAAATCTGTTTACTGTGTATATTTGAAGTTCCTTGCTGTGTAATGAGATTGTTGTTGAGATCTCCAGCCAGCTGAGCTCTTTCATGCAAATATTTGCTCCTCCGTTTGACCATATTTAAAAGGCATTTCATGAGTTCTATGTTTGTATAAATAGGAGCAAGTTGTCCGGCAAACCCAGTCGACTGACAGGCTCAAAGCAGATGCAGAAAAATGTTTGTCTCAAAGTGAGAAACTCAGCAATGAAAAGACCCAGTTTGAAAAGAAAATCTATGGGAAGGTTTGTTTTCTATTCCAAGCACTCTTTTTAGACATACAAATCCTTATCAGTAACTGCATATTATATAAGCATGTTTGGAGATCCAGTAACCCCAGAATCCAGATGAATTCTTCATTAAATTTTTTAACATTCTTGGATATTTTCCCATATAAATCACACATTCTCACAATAAATAATATTACACATAAACCCAAAAATTCTCCTTACTTTTAAACCACTCATTATCCAAAAAACACAATTCCAAAATTAATTTTTTTTCAAATAATGGAGCTCAAACAATGGTCTAATATCACCTCAATTATTTAAACAAGTTGTGTTCAAACCGTATTCTTGAAATTGAGCAGAGTAGTCTCGAGTGAAGAGATACAAACACAAGTTAATGTAGTGGAACCGTAACTTTAACCAACTTTGTACATAACATTCCAAAAATTCTGATCTTCTTACCAATAATGTTGTAAAGTTAACTAAGAAGACATCTTCGTGCAATAATGTAATGATTTTTTCATGCTACTTTACCATACTTGTAAATGATGTGATAATTAGCACATGTCATGTTGAATGAGGGATGGGCACAAAATAAAAGAGTGGACCATTCAACCTTTTATGGAACGGTCGGCTCGAAATGACTCCACACGCATAAATCTTTCTAATCTAACAATGAATTTAATGTTGTTTTATGGACCCAAGAAAATGTTCGAGTAGTTGACTTCTTTTTGATCTGCACAAGAAAATAAAAGGGTATAACAGTTTTTTAACCAAAGTCCATTAATGTAAGTAGGTCTAAGAGGTACAAAACTTCTCTAAAAAATATAAAGCGTAACGAAATGTGGAGGTCAAGTTTCGAGATAGACGAGATCTAGGCGTGAAAAAATATTTTCTTATTTCAATATTATTTTAAAATTTTTAAATCAATCTGAAAATAATTTAATAATTTAAGAAAAAAGATTGAAAAAGGCGTTAAAAAGCTTTAAAAAAAAGTGCAACTAAACGTGAAAAATAAAAATAAAAAAAGAAAACAAAAAAAGTGTGAAAAAGCACGAGACTTGATGTTTTGCTCCTGTTTCGTCCCTAGGTAGCACTTAGGCGCTGTCTAGACACCACTTTCTAGAACACTGCAAAATTGAAAGGTTGGAGATGATCTACAAGTTACTTTTTGAACAATTATGTTATGTTTGGTATTGTAAATAGAATAACATTTCACGATATGAAAAAATAAAAAAAGAAATTAAAATCTAAGTATACATTTTATCATATTTGTTTGATTGAATCCAAGCTATATATGAAGATTACCGTCTAAATCAAGTTTCGTTCTAAAATTATCTTTAAACTCAAGTTATATAATTAATTAAGAGAGTTAAAATATGTCGAGCAGTCTTAGGAGTGAAAAGCACAATCCAACACAATATGCCTTGGGGCCTGCCTAACTCCACAACCTAACCGTGTTAGGTTTGCAACTCAAGTAGACTGATTCACACGAATCTGTATTTTAAAAATATTAAAAAAGAATTTATATAAACCTACACAAAAAATCTTAAGGTCCACTTGATAGGTAAAGGTGAAAAGAAATTCCAATTTCATGTTAATTGGAAACAAAAATCCACCAAACCCACTGACCAAGGAACATAATTGGGAGTGAGACATAACGAGAAATACCATTAAGAACACATTGTCACATTTCCAAAACCACCAATCCTTCTCCAATACCGAGACCGACATCTCTAGCAACGACCACCATCAAACACACACCACAAAATAAATCACCATTACACCATCAAAACTATCTCACCATCACTGCTTTTTGATCATGATAGCCTCTTGTTGACTATCTGTCTCTCTCAAAATGGCATCTCCATTCATGCACTCCATTGCATTGTATGATGTAATCGACTTCGTTGCTATCGTCATCATCTCTTCCTCTACCAGATCCACGATTTCCTATATTTGGACGAAGCAACAAAATGGAGGTTGTAGGAGGTGATGAAGGGACTAGGGTAGAAAATCTTCGATCGCGCTACCACTAGAGTATGTTCACTTGCTGACAATGTCACCAATAGTAGACGAATGATTGAAGATTGTGGCTGGGATTCACTAGATCTGCTTGTGTTTTGGATGCGTCAAATCCAATAAATATTGAATAAAAAATAACGACCTTATATTTAAAATTTGAAAATCAACCATTGACATAATTTCTTAGCCACTTCAAAATCAAGTCATAGCGGCCCATTATGATCTCGTTCCATCTCAATTATAAGAGAAAAAAAAAATCTTAATGGGATGGCAATTCAAGAATCAATTGGCAAGCCAAAAAGAAGAAGAATAAGAAAAAAGAAAAAAGTAAGGGTGTCCAAAAGTCCTGAACCGAATCGAATCGAGCGGTTCTTCATAAATTAAATACCCAAACGGGTACCCGAATCAAGACGAACCGAACAGAACCCGAACTGAATCGAGCGGGTATTCATAGATTAAATACCCAAACGGGTACCCGAATCAAGAACATATGGGTTTTGGTCGGGTCGGGTCGGGTGGGTCTAGACCAAGAACCGAAGAACTGAATAAGAATTGAAATTAAATAATTTTTTTATTTTTTATATTGAATTAATTAAATTATTTTATTTTTTTCCCATACAAATTAGCAAATTAATTAAATAAATCAGATTATTTCATAATTTTAATTTTAAAGCCCAAATCATTTTTAAAATCCATTATCTCATTTTAATTTGAAACAAATGAATATACTTTATATAATTTTGCTGTAATATTAATATCTACTTTTTGGTATTTGTATGCATTGAATTAATCTTATTGGACGGCTAGTCATTTATATGTTTTTGAATTGAGCTACGTTAATTTGTAAAAGTTACGAATGAAATGTCATCAGTTGTATTTATGTAGTGTTGTTGTAAATATTAAAAAATTTAATTATGGTGCGGAACCGAACCGAATCGAACCGACCCGAATCGAATGGAATGGAACGGAATCGAACCGAACGGTTCCATAATTATATTTGGACCGACGGGTCCATTTATTAAATATTTGAAAGTTTTGGGTCAGTTCGAATCTCTTCAGAACCGAATCGAACCGACCCGACTCAACCCACGAACAACCCTAGAAAAAAGAGAACAAAATAAAACATGGACCATTATCATAAGTGGGCCGAACCATGGATTCATACCATTCCAACGAAAACAGTATGTCAAAAATACACGCGTCCCGTTTTGGACTTTGGTACCGAGGGCAGACTCTTGTAAAATATGGTTTAAGAGGATAGTTCTCGATTGTTCAAGTGAGTTCGTGAAACCCTTTCTTTACTTTCATTTTCTCGCTATATATACCTGCCATGGTGTAACAATTTCTTCTAATTTTTTTGATTGCAGAGAAATTCTCTTCTGTTTCTACCGATTACATTCGATATTCGTTAATTTTTCCGATTTGATTAGTTAAGAAAATGGCTAAAGAGACCCCTAATTGGGAAGGTTTACTAAAATGGAGTCTCTCTCACTCCGATGGCACTGGTTCTGCTCGTAATTTAAGGTACCTGTTTATTTTTTGTATCCATGTTCTTGAATTTATCTTTTATGTTTGGACTGTAAGGTCTGATTAGAAAAAAATAGCATTATTTTGAATTTAAGTATTTTAATTTCCTCCTGGGGTTTGTTGGTATATGATCTTTTGCAATTATTGTTTACTGGGATATTTAATACTGCATATATAAATACATTAGATACTACATGGATACGTTCTTTTACTGTTATTGGAGTTAAGCTATTGTTCCAATTGTGATAAATTTATGGGTTGGCTAATGTGATTTTAAATGGGTGTAGTGAGGAGGATAGGAGATGGTTCATGGAGGCTATGCAAGCTCTGAGTGTTGATGTTATTAGAAGAATGAAAGAGATAACTCTTGTTATGCAAACACCGGAGCAGGTAATTGTGATAAATTTATGGGTTGGCTAATGCGATTTTAAATGGGTTTAGAGAGGAGGATAGGAGGCGGTTCATGGAGGCTATGCAAGCTCAGAGTGTTGATGTTATTAGAAGAATGAAAGAGATAACTCTTGTTATGCAAACCCCGGAGCAGGTACTGGAGTCTCAGGGAGTAACTCCTCAAGATATTGAAGGTATTAATTACTGAAAGATATGTTCTTTTGTTTCTCTTTGCTGATTTATTGTTAACTAATGTAGTGAAGATTGAATGTTTACTGGTTTATGTATGCTTTTAGATATGTTGGATGAGCTACAAGAGCATGTGGAGTCCATTGACAATGCCAATGGTGAGTTTGTTAGTTATATAACCTGTTTCTGGAGTATGTTGAACTATTTTATGGAAGACCATCCAGCACATTTGGATTTTTTTCATAATTTCTTTCTAGAAACAATTTCTATTTAGATAGGGATGTATATCAGCAAGCAAGCTCCCCTTCTCTTCTCAAAGAGGTAAGCCCAGGATTACATATGCATATATGATGTCCCTTTCGATGGGAATTATATCTACTTTTATTTTGTCATGGCGCATAGTTGGCTCAGGGATACTCTTCTTCAAGGGTTGGTTTTGGAATTCATTGTTGGCATAGAAATGGGAGTTTTATGGCTAATATATGCAGCTTATGTCTGCTAAGATGGGAAAATATGATCATTAAGAGTTTATGTCATGGAAGATAGAATGGTTTGATTTGATTTCAAATAAGGTAGATAGAATATCGATGGTTTTCTTTTTCAGGCGTTGATGAACAGTACTTAAGATCCTGTGGATGGTTTGAGTCCATGGGTATTAGAGAAAAATTGTGGGTATATTTGTGAAGGTGAACAAGTTCAATCCTCCGTCTAGAGCAATCCTCCGTTTATAAACAAATTTATAAATGGTTTACAAATTCAATGAAAGTCAAACATTAATTTCAACGTATTATTCATTATTATCTACTAATTTCGTGGGATCCACTATTATTCATCCTTATAAACCATTCACACTTTTGCCAAATGGAGGCTAAACAGATTTATATAATTTCAAGACTCAGCTAGTTTAGGTATTTAAGTAATTTTTGTTTAATAAACTGTTATCTATATAGAGACTATTTTATGAATATTTTTGAAATGGCTTGCTATCAGCTAGTAAATTGACCTCTTTTCTTTCATATCTCGTGGAATGAGTTTAGATTAGTCCCTTGAGTTCGCTTTTCTCATTTTTGCTTGTAGATATTTTCTCCTTTCCCACCTATCAAGAGCTATTGTTCTTTCCCATTTTTTGTTATTGTAGTTATTGTACTTGACCTTCATCTATTTGATTTCGACAGTTGCAGGTTGTTATGTTGTTTTTGTAGTCCTTTATGGCATTCGACTGATATGTTTAAATGCCTTAATCTCTTTGTTCTCAGTGTGGCTGATCATAAGACTTAGATTTTGTTAGAGTCAACCTAGGTATGTTTAGGTTTAGTTCCTTTAATTGTATATAGTGGTAAGTTCAGAAGGATTCAATTAATAAGTTATCAATCTCCTAGCTTTGATAATTGCAACAGGATTTGGTATTTAACTGACCTGTGTGATCTCTTTCTGTTATTCTTATATTATAGTAACGTGCATAGGTGACTGTAGTAAAGATGCACATTGTTTCTATCTTCTCTTCTGCAATTTACTATTTTTGATTCAACAGTGTTAGTCTCCAATTTGATCTATAACAAGTTAACAGTGCCTCGCAAACTTGATTGAACCCTAAGAGCAGGCAGGAATGCCAATGTTCTCCATTTATACCAAAATCTAGAAAACTGTTAGGTATAAACTCATGCTAAATCCAGGTTTTCTACAACTGATTAATCTTTACAAAACTGCTTATCTGAGATTAGCTTTTGTCCTCTTTATCAAGTCTAAGGGGAGACTGAAAAATCCTCACTTTGTTCATTTCTTTAGACTCTGGTCACCACCATGTTTCACTTGGACCCAAGTCTAGAATTTGTTCTGTTAAACAATACAATCTAATCTTTAAATGACAGTGCTCGGTAAAGTGTTGGTAAAGAATTTTTGCTGACGATAGACATATTTGTATGAAGTTGAATTATTAGAGAGAATAAAATTTGGCTTCCTCAACCGGTTGTGGTCATTAAAGTTTTTCCCTTACTCCGTTGGTGCCATTTGCTTTGTCCAGATCTTCACTCCATTGGTGGCTTAGTTCCTCTCCTTGGCTATCTGAAGAACTCCCATGCTATCATCAGAGCGAAGGCTGCAGAAGTTGTAAGTACAATTGTCCAGAACAACCCGAAGAGTCAACAATTGGTCATGGAAGTTAATGGCCTGGAACTACTCTTATCAAATTTTACTTCAGATCCTGATGTTACAGCGCGTACCAAAGCACTTGGTGCAATCTCGTGTAAGTATCATTTGAGTTCTTTCATGTTCTGTTCAAGGCTTATTCCTGCATTTTCATTGCATGTAATCTGGCATGACAAATCCAGCTAATAATTTTATTTTATTTTTTTTGTCGATTACTTTCAGCTCTAATTAGGCATAACAGGCCTGGAATTGTCGCCTTTCGCCTTGCAAATGGTTATGCAGCTCTAAGAGATGCTTTAAGCTCTGAGAGTGAGAGATTTCAGAGGTATGTGTTGTCGTCCTTTAGTCAGTGACGAATTTTACGATTTTCTATCAAAATTTCTCCATATGACTCCCCTCATCAGTACTGGGCTTCTCTTGTTCCCCGTGGAAAGGAGAAACCCAGATTTTGAATTTAATTGTAAGTAAAATAAATATCCCACGAGGTTATTCAATGCTTGTAGTTATTTTCAGCTTAGCTTAAAGTGAGACAGACTAAAGCAGTAAAATTAACCTTACTACATGGGTTACTACATGGCCACATGGCGACACCCTATTGGAGGGTCGGAAGGAAGTAAACATAGATTAATCCTAAAATTAAATACGCCGTTACTGTTTGTTTAAACGTGAAGCTAAAAGCTGCTTTCTTAGTGTTTTCAAACGCACTGAGGTTGTGATTCATGATCATATTTTTGCACAAGCTTTTATGGCTACTGTCAGTAAAATTGTTCGGCCTTTGTTATCGAGGCCCCACATCCCGACCCTCCAATAGGGTGTCGCCATGTGGCCATGTAGTAATACATTTAGTAAGGTAGGAAGTAAACATAGATTAATCCTAAAATTAAATACGCCGTTACTGTTTGTTTAAACGTGAAGCTAAATGCTGCTTTCTTAGTGTTTTCAAACGCACTGAGGTTGTGATTCATGATCATATTTTTGCACAAGCTTTTATGGCTACTGTCAGTAAAATTGTTCGGCCTTTGTTATTGACATAGAAAGGTGATTTTTTGCAGGAAAGCTCTTAACTTGATTCATTATTTACTTCACGAGAATCATTCAGATTGCGGTGTGGTAACTGAGTTAGGATTTCCGCGCATTTTGATGCACCTGGCATCAAGCGACGATGGAGAAGTACGTGAAGGTGCACTTAAAGGCCTTCTTGAGCTAGCTCGCTACAGGTTGGGCAATGCGGATGCTAGTCAAAGTGAAGAAGACGACAAACTGAAGCAAACATTAGAAGAACGGATTAAGGGGATCAGCGAGATGTCAGCTGAAGACCTAGGTGCTGCCCGAGAGGAAAGGCACCTTGTAGACTCCCTTTGGAGTACCTGCTATAATGAACCATCTTCTCTTCGAGAGAGGGGGCTTCTTGCTCTCCCAGGAGAAGATGCACCCCCGCCAGATGTAGCCAGTAAGCATTTTGAGCCTCCTCTTAGAGCTTGGGGTGCAAACCGGAATCCTGATGCGAATTCTAGTACCGACAAGGAGAAAAAGGAGGCGCCACCATTGTTACTCGGTCCAGGACCCTCATCTGGCAATGCTTCCTAATGCATTTATGAGATATTAAACAATGATAATGGTCTAGTTTCTGTTTGCTGCTATGTCACACCTGGATAAAAATGGTTTTTGTATTACTCATGTAGGCTGTCTTTCGACTTCCTTATAGCTCTTCCCTGACGATGTGAATGGGATTTTTTCCCCCTTTTTGGTTCATCGTCAGTTCTACAATTGTTCTTCTGCTCCTGCGCTATAAGTGGATGATTAGCTACAGAAGCATATTTAGCTGTGTTGATTTGATCTTTCTTTCCAATGACGAGGCATATTTGTTTTTTCATTTTTTTAATTGATAAATGTGAATTATATTATCAAAATATCGTGTATAAGTACTCTCGGCATATCCGGGTGAGACTACAAATAGAGATGTACAAACCAACTAATTTATTAACCCAAAGCTAGCAACTCATAGTGGGTTAAAACTAGCAACTCATAATGGGTTAAAACATATACAAGGTAAAAATTACTTTGTATACATGTGTTTTAATCCTTGTAACAATGTTCTACGATTGTGGCCGGAGATTCTAAAAAATCATCATGTTGCATGCTGTTCATGGTAAACAGTGCAAGCAAGGGATGTTTTCTTAGCTTAATTGCCAAGAGGTGCCTCCGGCTTCCTTCTTAATCCATTTCAAAGCGCTAGAGATAATAGACATAGCTCGTCAAATGCCCAGCGAATCTTTGATTTGCCTCCACACATTTGAACTCATAGAGCGCTCAAAGAACAAGTGTTGCACAGATTCGGTTGAAGTGCCACAGAGCACACAATGTCCATCAATATCCATATACTGCAATTTCTCCTCGGCTGGAAGCTTATACTTGGCTCCTAACCAAAGAATAAAGGATTGTTTCGGTGTGATACATGAATTCCAAACAGATGCCGCCCAAATAGTCTTCGTTCCTTTCGGCCTGAAGTAGTTATAGGCAAGTGAAATACATATGTTCTCTCGTTGTGTCCAATTTCCAATGTTCTCTCGTTGTGTCCATATGAGTGGACTCCTCCCCATGAGTAAGCAAATCTCTGGTATCTCTGTCTCTTGAATAGTGTCGAGTCTTCTTTCTTGGGTAATCTGACCTAAACAGATGCATCTCTAAGGTAGATGTGATTGATCAATCGAACCCATACTGTATCCTTTTTTGCATGAACATTCCATAGACCCCCTTCATCTTTTGGCAGGCAGGTGAAAAGGTAGATGTGATTGATCCATCACACTTGGGATGAAAATTGAACTCAGAATTCTCCGTTGCCTCCATCAATGATCTAGAGAAGTATTCCAAGCAAATCACAAGAAGGAATGGGGTGAGAGGATCACCTTGTGCGAGGTCCTTTCTACCTTCGATAAATCCATTCAGGTTGCCATTAACCGATAGTGAATACGATGGAGTTGTAACACTTTCCATCACCCATTCAATGAACATCATGGGAAACTCAAGTCCCTCAAGAACATCTCTAAGGAAAGCCCAATTCACAGAGTCATACGCCTTCCTCAATAGTTAAAACTGTTCCGTAGAACCCGATACTCGTTTCTTACTTTATTGCCTCAATAACTCTTGTGCGAGGTGGATATTCTCGATCATGCTCCTCCCCTCAACAAACGCAGCTTGCGCCCGATTCAGTTTACTATAGATCCAATAATGGGTGACAATCTGGAAGGTAAAATTTTAGTGATTACCTCAGTTTTTAGAAGCACAGAAGTTGGCTCGAATGACTTCTTCTTGGAGGCTGAATGTGTGACAGTTAGCACATATTATAGTGAAATTCTGGACGGGTAAGTGGTCGTAGTTTTTAAATTGATGACGACGCTATTCTCTGTGTTTGATTTCATTCGGTTTATTTGTTACTCTCACAAGAAGGAATTAAGGCTTATTGATATAAAATTATCAGCGTTGTTGCTTCATTGTTTCATCATTCCACATAATCAAGAACTGAAAGAGTTCATTTCAACTGTGTTGCTCGATGCAGGATGGCACAATGGCATAAATGAAATCACTCTGGCAGAACACTAAAATATTGAATCTGCATTTGATGGTGTGAAGAAATTGTGGCACAATGATGATTGGACTGTTGCTGTTGCTGCTAATTTGGCTGAATCTGTTAATTGATGATTGGGCTGGATTATTACTTAATTACTTGGTGGCTTCTGTTTCATTGGGGTTTAAGCGTGTTTAGTTAAAACACGTTTTTCACTTATTGCTTGGACTGCTTGAGATGTCGCCAAGTGTCACCCCACTAAACGTCGGTGGTTTCTTTTGTACGCATCTAGGGTTTGAGTTTATGGATGAAAATTCATTCCCTCACTCTCTGTGCTCTCTTTGTCTTCTCCGTTCCTTGCACTCTGAAAATTGAAAGCACATCTGATCTACTATATTTGTAGCCTCTTGTATAGGTCTTGAGTGATTTACTAAGGGTTATAGTTGTTATCCTTGCGTAGATTATTGTTTTGATTAGTGAGGGCTTTCGATCTTGATGTAATCTTGGGTGATTTTTTTGAGTGCCTGTGTTGTATTCTGAACGGTTATTGGTTTTGGTTAATAAAGTAATTTCTTTTGGTTGGCGGAAGCTCAAAAATAGATTAGGAACTCCGGTTCTGAACCTCTTGCCTTAGGACGAAAACCACATGTTCTTTACTGGTATTATTATTTCTACTGATAATTTTGAACCTACTCGTTACAGATGGCATCTACATATATATAAAAACAAAAGTGCCGTCAAAAAAAGTTTCCCGCCAAAATTTACTTTCCTCTTATGGAATTCTGCTGTCAAATAGTCTGTTCGTCTACCTTAAGTCTGCGTTTTATGTTTTCCAAAATTCAATCTGTCTATCCATTAGTCAAACATTTACTGATTATTACAGCATGCTTTTATTGATAATAACAATTTCATTTGTTGAGCTTTGTGTTCATTAAATCATTCTTTTTTTTTTTTT